TACCTTGGCGCCGCACAGCGCATGCTCGGCCACGATGTTGACGAGTTCTTGCCGACGCTGCAAGGGCCGGAGAAGGGGGCTGCTAACTCGCTATGGTTGGATATGTATGAGAAGATGAGACAGTGGCTGTATGGGGACGAGGTCGACCTTTCGTCTCCTGTTCCTGATAACAAGGGTATTCCTGTGTCCAACGGCAAGGTTGCGAATGGGAGGGCGCACAGTAATGGGAATGGGTTTCATGCCAAGTCCCATCATTGAGATGGGCAAAAGATTCAAATGCCCTAGGGGGCCTGTCTTTCTGACTGGTTGAAGTCACTTATTAGAGCTGAACGGAAAGTTATATAACTTTTTTTTTTTTTTTCACTATTTCACTTCAGTTCTGTTTTTTCTTTCTTTTGGGGGGCTTTGTTAGATTTTTAGGGAACCAAAAAAAATGCACTCAAGTTTTATATGAAATGGGATGATTGATGACTTACTGGGCAACGTCTCTCCGTGATATCAATCCTCGCTTACATCTCTGTCGACTGAAGCGTCACCCCAGTTATTATAAAGGCATCACCTATCCCTTCAGAAATCATTTGGTAATGCTTGAGGCGTACAAAAGCACAGTTCGTATATCGGTGCTCGACTCAGCGACGAATATCATCTCATAGAGAGGCTCATTCCAACATTATCGGTCTAGAAAAAGACTGAGGCGGTTCATCTCGAGCCGACCTGGCCTCGCGGGTCCCTGATTCTCCCGAGGCAGGGCGACATGTTCATATATGAGACGGTGTTCTCAATTGACCTGTCATGCTGTCATATCAGAGAGAGTCGACGATCTCAAAACGGATCCAAATGACATTTGTCTTCATCTTGAACGCAGGTCAACAAGACTGGACCGGCTCGCGCGATTCCATTGGCCGAGAAGACCCATTAGGCTAATAACATTTGTTAAATGTATACTCCAATATAATGCGATATCTATCTGACTAACGGAAACCATGTACCTAATGAAAGCAAAACTTGATTTGTTGCATAATTCTGCATTGCTTGTGAGTTGTGACTCGCTACGTCACCTAAACACGCGACCCCTGATTCATGGCCGCGGCCCCGCTCTTTCTTTCAACGCGGTTGATCTTTCGTCTTTAACCTAGGGATTCTTCTCTTCTTCCATGTAAAGCCATCGCGTGCATCGTTCATAACAAAAAGGTCCTCGACAATTGCTTTGCGAATTGTCGCCTTACTCCTATCTGACATGCTTTGAAAACTTGCCCGGCATACTTCAATTGGCCATGGAGGTGCCGCCCACTTCCGGCGATGTCGTTGGCGCTTTTGACCCATCCCGGCCGTTTCGCGGCGTCGTGCTGTGCTGCACCAACATAGAAGCCGATCAGCGTGTAATGAATACTGCCTTTACTACATACATCTCGATGATTTGGATGCTTTGGATGATCAGTTTACTGACGCGAACATATTTACCGTGGATATAGAGCGAAATAGCCCAGCGCATTTCTGATATGGGCGGCGTCCACAAGTACGATCTCACCCTCGATGTCACCCATCTCATTGTTGGCGATTACAACACTCCCAAGTACCGTCATGTCGCCAAGGAAAGACCGGATATAAAGCCAATGGCTGCTGGCTGGATCGAGGCTGTCCGGCGACTCTGGGTCGAGGACCAAGAGATGGACTTTGCTGCGCTCGAGGAACAATGGAAACTTCGAACCTTTGAGTCGGCCGGCCACATCCCCAATAGCCCTCTATCGTCCGAGCACGAGCACGCGCACGAGCACGAGCGCGAGCGACCGAGATTGGTATGCTGTCTGACCGGGTTTGAAGATAGTTCGTCTCCCCACGGTTCGGTCTTCGATCTTGTAGTGCTGACCGCCCTCTTAGACAATGTGCGCGCTATGATCGAACACAAGGTTAATTCCAACGGCGGCATATACGTCGCCGACCTCTCCAGGCGCGTTACCCACCTCATTGTCGCCAAGCCCGAGGGCAAGAAGTACGCCGCCGCCCGCAGGTGGGACGTCCGCTGCGTTACTATCGAATGGCTACACGACAGTGTCGAACGCGGCATGATCCTTAACGAAGCATGTTACGACCCGACCCTCCCGCCAGAAGAGATAGGCAAAGATGCCTGGTCACGGAGGGATACTCGACAGATCATTCTGGGCAAACGATCGCGGGAAGGGTCAGCCGCCCTTTCTGAGGCGGGAAGGAGAAAGCTGAGAAAGAGCGCGAGCATGAGGATGAACAGCCAAAACAACGATATATGGGGTGACATATTGAACCAGTCTGCCGGCGAACCCTCGCGACCCGACAGATCTAGCACCCCTGCCACTCCAGTTCTCGCCAACTCGGTCTCATCCGATATCGAGAACTCCCGACCTAAAGCGCAACCCGCAATACCATCTATAGCGCCGCAGTCGGGCAATATTACCTGGCCTGCTGCTGATAAAGGTGTATTCACGAGCTGCCGGTTCTATGTCTACGGATTCCCAGAGCCGAAAAAGCAGGTCCTCCTAAACTTTCTTACATCCCATGGTGGTCAACTCTCCTCGTCTTTAGTGGACGGTGTGTCATTAGGCGGTAGTGAACCGTTAAGCCAACGATATCTACTGGTGCCGCAGGCATCACCACCTAATAGTTATCCAGAACCCCCAGACGACGTCCACGTTGTCACAGAGTTCTTCATCGAGCGCTGTATCCATAATAAGACACTTTTCTCCCCAACAGATCACGTCTTAGGCCGCCCTTTCTCACGGTTTCCAATTGAGGCATTCCGGAAACTGACGATATGCACAGCTGGTTTCGTCAACGAACAATTGAATCAAGTTGAAAAGACAGTGACTCAATTAGGAGCTACGTATTCCGAGAAACTAAATAGACAGGTCACCTTACTTCTCTGCCCGGACCTCCGTTCCTTAAGAGAGCAGAAGCGCGACCTGGCCGTTTACCACAATATACCAGTCATCAATGTTGAATGGCTGTGGCAATGTATCACAAAGGGGAGCTCTATGTCATGGGAACCCTTCCAGTTCCAAGAACTGGCCCGTAGTGCGGATTCTATCCGTGCTGATCTGAAGCGTAGGGAGGAGGACAAGAAGAAAGGAAAAGAAACCCCGGTCAATCAGCCAATACGACCAGAAGAACCTGCAATTACAAAACCGCCTGTCGACAAGCCAAGCCGCCGGAATCCAGCGCCGCCTGCAAAGGCTGGTGTGGATATAACTGCGTTTGATGGCGATAATCCTGATGTAAATCATGAGCCGTCTAATACCTCTCACACCTCGAGCACACGTAAGACACCACGGGAAATGGCATCAGCTCATAGACCAGGCTTCGATGGTGCTTTTGCATCAGGACCACTTTCAGAGACGAGGGTGAATGATTTAAACAAGTCGACATCATCCCCCAAACAACAACAAATACAACCGCCAAGCGAAGACACATGCCACCAACGCGAAGCGGAGGTAGGTGACTCGGAAGCAGGAGAAGAATCAGATACGCCTACTCCGCGAACTTACAGTAAAGAGCCGTCTGGTTGCGCCGATACGGACGCAGACGCAGACGCAGATGCAGAAGAAGCTGAACGAAAGCGCTTAGCGCAACAGGCCAAGGACCTCGAGCGTCGCGAGTTATCAAAACGATTAAATTCTCTCATGGCGAATGATGAGATGACATCGCCACCACCACGAGAAGATAATAATAATAATAGCAATAATGACAGTCTCGAAAGCCTGCCCTCAGCACCCCCTAGACCAACACGTCGGAAACGGCAGGTATTAGGTCGTGCGGCGAGTAATGTGTCTGCGGCATCTAGCATGAGTGCTGAATCAGCGGCGCCTACGTGGGATACTACGACGGCAAAAACGAAACAAGCCGGATCTACGATATCGGCATCGGGCGGCGGGTCGGAGTTTGAAAAGTTCCTCGAGGAGGAAGTGGGGGATGGGAATATGGGGGCGGAGGAATCCGGGCTGCCGTCTACGCAGCTGGAGTATGATAATCCGGAAGCGAGGAGGCAGAGACAGGTCGTGCTCGAGAGGATCATGGGGACCTCTAAACAGGCTTCTACTAGCACGGGCGAGAGTGAGCGAAGCGATCAGACGAAGAAGGGGTTCCGACTTGCGGATTTCGTGACTGCGAGTTCGGGTGCGGCGGTGGTGAAACGGAATATGCGGCGGAGGGGGACAGGATCAGGATCCTTGGACATGAGATGAGATGAGATGAGATGAGATGAGAATTTAATTAAGGGTCTTAAAAGGTCTGCTCGTGGGTGTTTTTGGGCCTGGGGTGGGGGTGGGGGTGGGGGGAAGTTTGGGAGAGAGAGAGAATAGAAAGGATGCGATGGATAAAAGTATGTGCTGAACTGGACTGAACTGGACTGAACTGGACTGAACTGGACTGAACTGCATTATCTGGCTAGTAGGTTATTATCTCTAGTTCTATGTATGATCTTCTTCTTCCATCCGCAAATCGGAAATCGGATGGGGTCAGTGTCACGGGAGTCAGGTCCGATTCTATCAGATCGGGGGGGGGCGGTTATAGGTAACCTACCTAACCGTAGTTTACCGGATCCCGCGGACTGGTTGGTACCTTAGGTAGGCATGCCGGCAAATCATGGATGCATTTATAGAATGATTTGGGATTGTGAGGCGTGCGTATATTCCTGACGTTGAAAGGGATGGAAGATGGAAGATAGATGGAAATGGAAATACTTGAACAAAAGAAAGAAAAGAAAAGAAATAAAAATATAGATATAAATAAATGGAAATGAAAGAAATGGAAATAAGTGAATGTGGTCAGTATCTACGTCCGTAAACTAGGTACGTTATGTTATGTTATGTTATGTTATGTTATGTTATGTTGGCAAGCATGGATGGATGGATGGATGGATGGATTCATGTTAGGTAGGTAGGTAGGTAGGTAAAACCAATAGATGACCTTTCTTTTTTTTTATACTTTTCTGTTTGGCTTTTCCAAAAGTAGAAGAATGCAAAAAATGCAAAGCGGGGATAGCTCAGTTGGGAGAGCGTCAGACTGAAGTGAAAACTTTTCATTCCGTTCCTTTATCTAGATTCTCTAGGTTAGTTTATCTGAAGGTCGTGTGTTCAATCCACACTCACCGCATTGTTCTTTTTTGGTAAGAATCATCATCTTTGATGAGATGAGATGAGATGAAATGGATCTTGGAAGACTTTTCTGTTTTATTTGTGGTTTTTTTTTTTTTGTTTTTAATTTATTTAGAATATTGTAATTTTGTTGGTGGGTAGTATATATGTAGGTGGGTATGAAGGTATGAAGGTATGATTAGTTTGGGTTTTTGTGATCTGGAAGGGAATGGAATGGAATGAATGCGTTCAAACGAACGTCTGTGTGATCACAACTGAATGTAACTCAGTCTTTGATGGGTTAGGTAAGGTAGGGTAAGGTAGGTATTGGGTTATGGAATCCAGGTATGTGGAAAAAAGCCCATCAATGAATGATACTACTTCTTCGTGTCACTTCCACCTCACGTCAAGTGAATGAATCACATGGGTATGTATAGTCGAGTGAGTCCCTCTCGCGGGAAAGTGGTATTGGGTGTATATATGGTAAATAGGTATTTAATAGTCACCGGGTGACATGGCATACCGAATTTTCTATCTGTTCCCCGAATCCCAATCCCCCAATCCCCCAATCCCGATCATGTGTGGTAAGACTAATAATAACACTTTTTTTCAAACAAAATCAAAATCGCTTGCCTAGTATCGTGGACGGTTTAAACTTGGGAGAGACAATGTATGTGATGAAGATGAATCAAATCAACCCTACCTTGGAAGGTAATACATAAAAGGGAAAGAGATCATATAGAAAAAAAAAGTACTTTCACAAGACGACGAACACCCATCGTCGGTCGTAAAACGATTTTACAAGCTAGCAGCTGCCTCTGTCAGTATGCTCATCAGACCAGCTGCGGCACCGCTGAGACCGGCTACGCGGAGGGCTTCGCTTCGGGACTTTCTGCGGATTCCTCCTCCTCCTCGGTCTCCGTTCTCTCTGTGTCTTTCCCGGTCTCGGTCTCGGTCTCGGTCCTTGTCTCTGGATCTGGATCGGGATTGGGATTGGGACTGGGATCTGGACTGGGATCTGGACCGAGATCGGGATCGTGATCGGGATCGGTCATGGGAACGACGATGCCCATGCTGTTGACCATTACGGGATTCCTCACGCCCACCTCCAGAGGCGTGATGCCTTTTGTTACTACTGCTGCTTCTAGTACCTCCATCCCGGTACTCATGCTCCGCGCGGTCCCGACTCCGCTCGCGATGGTGTTCTCGGCTGAAATAATCTGACAAGCGATGCTTCCTCTCGTGCTCTCTGTCTTTATCCCGTTCTTTCTCTCGATGCCCGCGGTCGTTATGGTTGGACTCTGTTCTCCATCTATCTCGTCGACCAGGCGACGCTGAATTGGAGCCGTTGTCGTTGTTGTCTAGCGGTTCGAGATCGAATCGCACGTTGGGATCTTCATTCTTGTTCTTGAGAATGGGTTTCGGCTTGATTGTTGCTGACGGGCTGGTTTTGTGGTGAGGGCTGTTTTTTTCTACTGGTGGCGACACGATTACTGGATGGATAGTGGAATCGTCGCCATGGGATGTGGGTGTTGATGCAAACGTGACGCTGTTGCTTGACGCCCTGTGAGGATTGTTGCTGTTCTGGTGACGAGACAACGAACGTGGACGAGATGAGAGAGGGTGTGATTTTGAATAGCGGTTGGTGTTGGCGTCACGTAATTCGTCATCGCTAGAGTCGCATAGTTGACTCGAGAGATTGTGAGTATTGTTGTTCACCCGATGGCGATCGTGCAGGTTGACAGCTTGACCTTCCATGGCATCCCAGTTCCGGAGTTCGTCATGACGATATCCATCTATATGCTGCTGCTGCTGCTGCTTTTGTTGTTGTTGTTGTTCTCTCACATTCTCTCTGGAACGTCTTAGATCCCTGGCAGCGGGCGTGGTGGCTCGTTGTTTGCGCTCGCGTCGTATTTCAGAACTTTTCCGAGCAAGATGAGCAACTTCTTCCCACCGTAACTCGCCAAGTACAGCCACGAAGTCAGGTTGTGCTTCATAGCGAAAACCCTCTCGTGCCAGGACATCCGGCGATACCAGCCTTCGCTGAATTCGTGTCCACGTTGCCTCTGGCGGGATTTCTCTTCCCTGGCTATCAGGACCTAAACGACCCAGTTGTTGCTGGCTTGCAGGTGCCGATAGCAGTAAGGGATCTGAAGATATCCTGTCGAGAGGCGAAGTCTGCGAACTTGAAGGCGACCAGTGGGTTGGTGGGTTAGAGGGACCCAACTGCCAAGATTCCATGGCGGTGGAGAGATTCATTATTTCTCTCGTCTTCAGGAGATCTCTCGTGGATATCAAAGCCATATCGGCGTATCCCAAGCGGTCGATTTCCGTGGTCTGGAAAAAAGGCTCGTTGAAAATATCAAAACTATCCCGGTTGGTCGGAAAGGTAAGAGCGGAAAGGAATGGGGTATTCTCAAAGCCGGTACTCGAAGTGAGCATAAGCTGGCGCGACTTGCTTGGGTTATGTGGTAGAATGGTGTCGAGGAACACACCGATTCTCAGCTTCAGGTAATCGAGCTTGCCATGGATCTGGTCGATCTTCGAGCCCATACTACCTAGCATACCCCAGCCCCTACCGCGGCCATTCACGGGGGCATGCCGTCTGCCATTTGCCCCCCTGCCGGTACCATTGCAGTGGCTTTCCAACACGCCATCCAGCTGCCTCAATGCCAACTCGGTGTCCTTGATGATAGGACTTAGTTGGCGTAAGTGAACGCCACTTCTGTCACTATTCAGTAGAGATTTCGGGTCTTCGGCTTCGACTTTTAAGTGCTTCAGCACGGTATACAAGTCGCGAACCATGGGAGCGGTATCCTCGAAGTCAGGACCGGCATTGCGTGCTCGTCTATACAACTTGCGTGCGAAGTCATCCACAGTATCGACGGTGGCTAACGCGGTGGGAAAGGTGGCGTCGACTGCACGGTGAAGATCACCTGTCGTCATGGCCGGTACGCCTTTCGAAGCTTCACCCAATCCCCGCCGACAATATGTCAAGAGGTGTAGGGGCGGCGACGAGGGTAGAGAAATAGCAAGCTTGGTTTGCACTAGATAAAGTGATGGAATCGGAGGGGTCAAGGCGATATGAGAGGTGTCTATATACTAAGACAATAGAGACCGACAATTGTGCTGGGGGTCGTTAGGTACTGACCGTTCTCCCTTTACACAACCAACGTAAGACTGGGCGATGGGGGTGAATCTCGGAGGAAGAAAGTGAAAATGAGGGAAATGGTGTCTATATGTGTAGTATGGAGCGCTATAGCGGGCACGTGGACGACCCAACACGAAAGGAGACAAGAGGAGAGGAAGGAGGCAAAAGACAACAACACATAGTGCCATGTCCGGAGTCGAAGGCATGTTGATGGGGGCGCACAACAAGTCAGTCAGTTCAAAGTTGGTGTCAGGTACTTCAGTACCAGGTATTGATCACCTGTACGTAGTAGAGAATGTCGACGCTGTTGGTCTGTCACTGCTGACCTTGCTGCTGTCGACTGTTGTGAAGCATGATAAGCAGCGGGAGGATGAATGACCGCCATGGTCTATCTGAGAAGACGTCGCCCGAGCCCAAAGCCTCTTCAACATACCTTGCATTCCAAGTTGCAACCATTGTATAACCGATTGAATGAATACGGGTTACATTGACGAATGCGGAGGTCGTCAGGATCCGGTATGATCATCGTTGCATGGGGTAACACGGATGTGAAGTTGGTCGCCCTTCAGCTGAGGAGAGATGGAAATAACTACCTAGTCGCGAGCTCTACTTATTCTACCTAGGCAGGTATCTAGATAGAAAATGCTAGGTGCCCGGTGACGTAGTTATATGGGATTTGCCGATAGTCATGTTTAGAGCACTACAGGCTGTATTTATCTACACAATGGAGACCGCTATGTAACTATCAGCTTATTGACGTAACGACCTGAGTGATAAACTAGCGTCGATACCTACCCAAATTCTCCGGTGCCTGGCAGCGACATCTTGAATTCCTTCCCCTCCTTCTTCGTCAATTTCGTGTTTCGATGTCTTGATGTTTTGATTTTCGGGGTTGTCTGTCGTGATCGTGAGATCTACAACCCCAACTGATGGGGGAACCATCAGAATTCTTATCAGGAACTTGCCATCTTATTGATGGCAAATATGCCCCAGATATACCATGGGTAGTGACATCGCCAGTTGCTCATCAGGCGTGATGCCTCTTGATGATTGGCCCCATGAGAACTCCGCCGCTTTCTCACAGAGGCAACCAGATTGATTGTGCACTACACATTATGATACTCTTTCGCAGGGAGTGCGATCGAGTGCAGCAGCCCCCATTACTCATTACCGGAAGAAGGAAGTGGGAGGAACGTTCTCCACGCTTCAATTTATTCTGTTCTGCCCCTCACCGTCGCCACTGTCAACGATGATCGACGGCCTGCTCTGCATGCATGTGCATGCGTCTGCGTCTGCGTACGTCCACACATTACGGCTGTCTGTCTTGTGTGTGAGTGTGAGTGTGAGTGTGAGTGTGAGTGTTAGTGTGTGTGCGTGTGTGTGTGTGAGTGGGAGTGGGTGTGAGGGAGAGGGAGAGGGAGAGGGAGAGGGGAAGAAATAGCTAATGGCTCGTCTGTTGTCCCCCGTCATGGTGGGTAGTGGGCTCATGCTTGCTTTCGCGAAACTTGAAATCAACAGATAACAGACAATAGTCATTCGAAAGAGGTATCGAGCTGGAACCATACCCTCAAGTCGTCAAGGTTGTGCCGGATAGCTACCTGCAAAACATGCCAGCAAACCAGATACTCGCCTGCCTACACATGAGTCGCATTCGGCTGTTCCCTGTGCCGTATACCGGTGTGGTGGTAGACAAGTGAGGAACGTGGCCACATCGAATAATCGCATGTTTGCTCGTTTTCTCTCGTCTTTGCCCGTCTAGCTGGCTTGGCCGATGGTCATCTGCTCATATTCCTTCCTGGAATGCCCTTTGAGTGTGCTAGTAGTGACACACAGCCCTTTTTCAGGATGAGGCTCATTACGATGCGGCG